TCCCAATCCTGCCGAACATAGTTCGGCCAGGACTCTCCTGACAAGGAGAAAGACTTTAATGAATTCAGTATGTCGCCGAAGGGCGAGTGCTAAAAGATATCCGCGGAGGCGAACTCCATGATTGGCGCCCAGTCGGATTTGATAGGCACGGGCGCAGGCGGCTCGGAGTCCATGGCCGGGGAAGGATCTGGCAATTTGGCAACACGGCTCTCGTGAAGGGTAAGGTCAATATTCGGCTCGATCGCCGCTGAGGATACGGCCTCCGTGACGGGGTCTATCCACCCGTCCATGGATGGCACAACTGGCTCCGAATTGAGGCTCGGAGCGGCTGCCGGTGCGATTTCCTGAACGTTGTCTGATGGTAGAGCTAAATCGTACTCATTGTGACCGCGTGACGCACAAGGCAGAGGCTCGAATCCGTCGAAGATCAAGTCTCCGCGGATATCGGCCATGTAGTTTAAGCTTCCAAACCTGACCTGGTGGCTAGGGGCGTAACTTTCGATCTGCTCCAGATGGCCAAGCGAGTTGGCCCGCAGTGCGAAGCCGCCGAACACGAAGATCTGTCCGGGGAGAAAAGTCTCACCCTGGACTGCATCGCTATCGATGATCGTAGGAGCCATCAAGCCTAACAGCGACGACACAGAGGAACTCTCAATGAAAGCACCAATGTCGGTGTCAAAACCGGCGGATCTCGGGTAGGGGGTCCCGAACTGTGCGTCTAAGGCGGATGGTAACAGGAGGCAGGGGACACAATGTTTTACCCAGGTTCGGGCCCTCTTGATGGAGGTAAAACCCTACATCCTGCTTGATTTATTCTTGATGATATGAGTATTACAAGAGTTGATCTACCACGAGATCGGAGAGGCTAAACCCTAGAAGCTAGCCTATGGTATGATTGTATATTCTTCTATGGACTAAACCCTCCGGTTTATATAGACACCGGAGAGGGTTAGGGTTACACAAGGTCGGTTACAAAGGAGGAGATATCCATATCCGTACTGGCTAGCTTGCCTTCCACGCCAAGTAGAGTCCCATCTGGACACGGGACGAAGTCTTCAATCTTGTATCTTCATATTCCAACAGTCCGGCCAAACGATATAGTCCGGTTGTCCGGAGACCCCCTAATCCAGGACTCCCTCACTGAGTCATACACTGTAGTTTTGACGTGCTAGTATCTTCTACTCTCCCTAATATAAATAATGTAGAGCAGAACGAAAGACTATTTCTTCATTTCATTCTTGATGAAAAGTTGCGAAGTTGTTGAGCTCAATCAGCTGAAGTGACTCAAGCAGCGCCTTAAATCATGCAAGCTATTGCATCTCACAGACAAATTCTGCTGTCCCATAGTCCAGAACGTTGCAGCAATTGCAGTTCTTTAACTAAGGCAAGGGTTTCGTCCCGTGAAGAATTCCTTGTCAATCTTGAACGCAATGGGATCAAAAGCTGGAATTTCATTAGTCTCATCAAATCGAGGGGGGGATGGCTTAGAAAACAAGTCAACAACTTCGTCATCGGGGGTTTCCTGAGATTCTCCTTTGAAGGCTGCAAGTCTTCGATGAGCAACACTTATGTTCCGTGAAATGCGATTGAGATGTTCTTTGGAAACAGTATCTTGAGCAACATCAAAGTTGCCCCACCAAGATCCACCAATTACTTTGCTTGATTGACACACTGGCTGTCAAGGTCTGAAGAGATCCAACAAATCTGGCAACACCTATCCTCAAGGCCATCGTCGATGCCGTATTGAACGTCGTAGAGGTAGGAGATGCTGAAAAGACCTTTATCCAACATGTAATCACATCACCACCTCGTCGATGTCACTGGAGAAACAAACCAAGAAAAAACAAAAGGACGAGTCTCCACTCCTTTGGTCATTCACGAATCACCGGACAAAAGAGAGGAGGGAGCGAGGCGGCTGCATGGAGAAGACTTTGTGGCGGCTAGGGCCTGGTAGGTTGAGAGGAAATGCTTCTTTACGCCATGCTTGTCCATAGCACTAGTTTCGTGTGTTTCTCCACTACTATTAAACAATCAAACAAGAACTTTCTTACGTGCACCCCATAATTAGCCCCACAACACCGCATGACCCAGCCAACACCACACGATTAGTCCCACTAAACTTAATCTAACGGCTGGCCTTAACTTGATCCGTTTTCTGTGTGCACTTAGTAATTTAAATTGGCTGACCATACTCCACCGCGGAGGAAAATATGGAATTCCAGGACCCGCACCACCCTAATCACGTGACGCGAAAATAGGAAACTAATTGCCCGAGCACACGATGCCTCCCGCTGCCTGTTGGGACGCGAGCGACCGCCGCACGGACGAACCGCGGCCGATCCACTTACCCCTCACCATTGCCCAATCTTCCCGACGCAGACACCACTCTCCTCCACCTCCAACCTCCCGCTGGAGGCTGCCGTACTCAGCCACGGGTTTAGCACCGCGTCTCTCGCCGTCACCAGAGGCGTCGACTACGGCTTCGTGTTGAAGGATGCGAGCATGGGTCGCCGCCGCCGCCGGCGGCCACTCCTCCTCTGATGGAAGCAAGTGTAGGCCGCCACCGGCCGCTCCTCCGATTGTTGCCCTAGGTACGCTGCCACCCTCCTCTATCGTCACGCGCGTGGCCGCCAACCTGATCCGAGAGCCAGAGAAGCCAGTAATAAGTTTCCTCCCTTCGTCATTCATGTTCATGCCCACGCACCGGCCACAACACATGTGCCTACGGAGCTTCACGCCACGGTCTAGACGACGTCGAGGTACTAACTAAGCCAGATAGCCCGTCTGTCGGAAACTGACCGCAAGTCCACCATGATACTTGCGTGTTGGCCGCCTCTGCAGAACTGATCTGCTACACCCACGAAACCTGCAGGTAATTAGTCTCATGTCAACCAAATTGTTCTAAAAGGTCCAACTGTTAATTAAGATGGTTGCTTGCTTGCTTCTTTTGCCTACAAGTGTGCTCGCTTGATTTTTCATAGAAGTATGTTCTCATGCGTTAGATCGTGGTTTTTCTAATTGATTAAGGTAACTGCTTGTTTGCTTTTTTGTGCACGCTCACTTGATTTTTTTTGTCTCATGATATAAGTTTTATGTGTACCAAGTTCTGAATTAAGAGGACTGAGTTCTTTGGGCATAATTTAGTTATTGTGGTGAACAGAAGGGCATGTAAAAAGTAAATGGGCAATGGAACAATTAGGGCATATACACGAGATCGTATGCTGCAGAGTTTAGACATGCTTCTTTGTTTCGGAATATAGAACAGAAGAACAGATACATGACATAGAACACATATAAAGCTTCAGCATGGAATTCTAAAGCAACTAAATTTTCTGTTCGATGTACTGTCATCCTGTGAATGACATTTTGAAGTCCATATTGATTGTTCAATCAAATATATAGCTAGGGCTTCTGAGTTTTTATTGACCTGGTGGAGATAGAGTTTAGAGTATTTATTGATAGGACTTTAGATGGAGTTGAAGCAACAAAAGCACTCCACCAGTGCACGACAATAGTTATTAACAAAGCATGCTTCCATGTATCATTTCTCACCCGACTCGCAGTCTAGGGTTCCATGTGGTCAATCACGGTCCGGCTCTGTTAGCGTCACGCAGCCGACCTCTAAAACTCCCCTTAATCCATTTTTCTTTATTTTCTTTATTTCCATCTTCGGAGGGAGACTTCCTTCTTGACCTTGTTGACTTGATTTCTGATTGGTATTTCTGATCTTTGAGCTTGATTTGAAGAGACCACACGAAATATTGACTGTAGTTAGTTCCGTGTTCTGACAAATAAGTGTAGTTAGTCTTCAGGTTGCCTCATCCTAAAATCCGAATACATCACCAGTCAACTCAATTTTGGTACTACAATTTACATGTGTATTTTGCTGTTGGGGGATTATGTTCAAGGTTTCGTTTTTATTCCAGCACTGGATTGAAGTGGCATTTTAATAGTAATTTTAGTGGTGTACAACTGTACCAGCTATTATTATTTGTTGCAATAGGGATTAGTATAGATTGGTACAAAAGCATATCATGTTAGTCCATATTTAATTCAAAAGTAGGACTTCCTTAGTTATATTTGCCGATAGCCTTGCATTTGCTACCAAGGTTCAGTGTGATGTAGCTCAACTGTGATATGGTTAATGTTTCTCCCATGATTATTCTGGTGTGGATCGGTGAGCCCTTCAGAAGTTGACCTCCAACTTTCTTTATAACTATATATAGATTATATTAGTTGTAGCTCGTTGTGAATCTGTTTCCCCCTCACTCTTGGTCTAGAGGCCCTTCTGAAGCTAACTGAGATATTGTTAGTTTAAAATCCTTCCGGAGAGACTTTGTGATATGCATAAGAGTGACAATGATATTTTCAAATCCTAAAGAATTGATTGCACTTACATGCATTCTACCTATTACTTGTAGAATGGAAGACTTTTCTTTTTGGTGGAATCTGAATCAAAAGAAGCATAAGCATGTAGAGGAACAAGTCGTCCACCTTGCTGGTGCAAATGGACTACAAGATTTTATAAATGCGATGGATTAGATGATATTTGATGATTTGAGCCTTGTACTGGTGGGATTTCCACAACACTACGTATGATCTAAACATTGACTGAAAATATTTATCAAAGTATTTTTTCAAAAAAATAATTTTGCATAATATTACACTTGTCATCCCAGATGATGGTTATTAAGTACAAAACTCTTTTTCATTTTTATTTTTGAGAAAGCACATATGACATTTCCTTTTTTTCTTTACCTACTTGAAAAAAAGGTGTAGACGAGCAAACAACCACAGAAATAAAACTAATTAAGCAAAGGTGTAATTCAAAAATGAATTGCATTATCGAACATGCGTTGCACATGCACACTTATTAGTTTGAATACTGTAAAACTACAATTACGCCTGAAGTGTCTCTATAGCGTAATATAGGAAAGCCGCCTTCGCTCGCCGTACAGTGAAGGGAGTCAGCAGTCCAGTCCCCCCTGCTGCCGGAAGATATGGCGATCGCGCTCAGATTCGCCGCCACCCCGCCCCGCCTCGCCGCGCCGATACCTCCGACGAGTGCCCCTCGCGCACATGGAGGAGTTGCGCGCGTCGGCGCCCAGGGCGGGACTCGCCGTGGCAGGAGACTGGCAATGGCGGCCGCGGATTCCGCTCGCTGTCAGGCCAAGAGAGAGGGCGACGGCGACGGCGTCCTCGCGGGAGTCGCCGTCCACGGAGGAACCAGAGTGGAAGGGGAAGATCAGCTGAGCGTGGTGATGAAGTTCGGTGGTTCGTCCGTGTCGTCGGCGGCGAGGATGAAGGAGGTGGCGGGGCTCATCCAAGCTTTCCCCGAGGAGCGCCCCGTCGTCGTCCTCTCCGCCATGGGGAAGACCACCAATCTACTCCTCCTCGTACGACTGCTCTCTGGTCATTCTTTAGATTTACAGCCAAAAAAAAGTTGTAAGGCTCACTGTTTCAGTACAAAGAATCTTCAGTCACCGGAGTGTTAGCTAAAGTGAAGTTTGCATCTTTTGTCATAATTCAGCTTAAAATCGTCAAGAATCTGTCGAGATTCAGCCGATGCTATAAACTATAGCTTTGTACATAATTGCAGAATTGCAGTAGGTCAACAATGGCTGTAAACAATACAAAGAGAATGTAACTGAAGACTAAACCTTGCCTTGGGATTCACTATATCATTATAGCTAACATGTTTGAGTCTCTGAGCACATGTGAACTTCTGCTAAAATGCATGGTGTGTTTGCTCTTATTTTTAGGCTGGAGAGAAGGCAGTGGGATGTGGAGTGACCCGCGTTTCCGAAATAGAAGAGTGGAACATGCTCAGAGATCTCCATATCAAGTACGTGTGCTTTTCAGTCAGTTTACTAGGGGAACGCGTTTCATACTTTCGGTTTACAGTGACTGCTTTACTGTCAATCCAGGACAGTTGATGAACTTGGACTGCCAAGATCTGTTCTACATGGTAACCCCGCTAACTGACCTCTTGTGGATCTGCTTTCCAGTTTTCTTTTAAATTATAAGCTTACTGTTCCTAGTGAACAAAATTTGCAGCTAAGCTAGATGAACTGGAACAGCTCTTGAAAGGTGTTGCCATGATGAAAGAGCTGACACTTCGCAGCACTGATTACCTTGTGTCATTTGGAGAATGCATGTCCACACGGGTTTTTGCGGCTTATTTAAACCAGATTGGCGTCAAAGCACGTCAGGTACTTCTTGATGTTGTTCTTGATTTTCACTGTGAACCACTATGCTTCACAGTTTATGACTTATAACAAGTTAGCAACATAAATGAATACACAGGAGTATAGTTACATCTATAATTTTGTTACAATAGCGTATAAGTGTCCCTCCGCCATGGAAGATAGTCTCAAAAGTTTGATATCTTGTCCCTGAATTTCATATCATGATTCACTCCATGTTCTCAACACATGTGGTGTTAGTAGCATCACACCACTTCTCAGCATCATGCATTTCCATTTAGTTTCCACATTAGGTATGTGCTTCCTTCCCCTAAGGTCTCAGCCTGGCGCAAGGGCCCATGAAGTTAGCTAGTCTCTAAATTCCCAGCAGATTAAGTTTCTGCTGCATTTTGTTTCATTATTCGATATCTTGTTGGTTCTAAATTGTCTTCATTAACGCCTTTGCAGTGTGACGCGTTTGATATTGGTTTCATAACGACAGACGATTTCGGTAATGCTGAGATATTGGAAGCAACTTATCCTGCTGTTGCAAAGAGATTACATGGGGACTGGATTCGGGATCCAGTGATACCTATTGTTACTGGGTTCCTTGGGAAGGTATTCTCACAGATGAATGAGCTTTTCGTTTGTGGAGCAACCTTTTAGTTCATTGCGGTTGCCATCATTTGCAGGGCTGGAAATCAGGTGCCGTTACTACTTTAGGCAGAGGTGGCAGTGACTTGACTGCTACAACCATTGGTAAAGCCTTGGGATTGAGAGAAATTCAGGTCCATGTGAAATCTGAAATAGATAATTAGCAAACCATACTATTGATTTCTGGAAAAAAAAATACAGCCTAAAATTGACTGTTCCAGTTTGTTATCATGCCAATTTGTTTAGTAGCTGTATCCCTCGTTATTAGAAGTTTTGTCTCAAAGTTTACCTCTGCTTCACGATAGGTGTGGAAGGATGTTGATGGTGTACTTACTTGTGATCCAAATATCTACCCAAATGCAAGGACAGTCCCGTACTTAACATTTGATGAGGCTGCTGAACTTGCTTATTTTGGTGCCCAGGTATGCTGTTTTGTGTATATAAGAAGTTAAGAACAATATGTTCAAGAAGAAGATTATATACTGAACTGAATTTCTTTAGAACACACACATGTGTGTGCCATTTGTATCAAGAGACAGCGTCCACATGATGCTGGAAAAACTGCACTGCAATGATATCTCAAAATGGAGATAATTCATGTTTCTTCGTTGCAGTTTCGTATCACTCAGAAAGTTAGAAAATGAATTGTGTGGTTTAAATCCTTGCATAAGGAATACATGTTTGATTATCTTTATTTTTCTAGGAGAACATTTGGTGTGCTAGTCAAAGATCAGAAGATCTTATGGGTTTCAGCTCTTGCCTACCCCGACTTGTTTGGGACTAAAGGCTTAGTTGTTGTTATTGTTGAAGTCAAAGATCAGAAGATATATTGTTCTTCAGAAATTAGAGTTTTATTGGAAATATTCGTTATTTAGAATTAAAGGTGTACAGGCGTACTTGCATCTATCCATATGCATTATCTCAGTTTCGGTTACCCTTCCTGGAGTGGTTATCAGGCTATGAGCCTTTCATGCAAGGATTTGCGTATTCTGAAAAAAGTTACTTCTACTGTTAAAAAGTTGTTTTTCTTTGGCTCATAGTCATTCATTGTTGTGCTTCTGCAACAGGTTTTACATCCACAATCGATGCGACCTGCTAGAGAAGGTGATATACCAGTTAGGGTTAAGAATTCATACAATCCTAAAGCTCCAGGCACCCTTATTGCCAAAGGAAGAGATATGGATAAGGTTTGTACGTAGTATATTAATTAGGTATGTTCTCACATCAGAACCGTTTACCTCTCAAGCAGCCATCAACTTTGTCTCCCCGCTACATAGGTCGTGCTTACAAGTATAGTTCTGAAGTCAAATGTCACTATGCTGGATATAGTGAGCACTCGGATGCTTGGTCAATTTGGTTTCCTGGCAAAGGTATGTTAAGCTGCCGAAACATTCAGTTTGGTTCGCGTTTGTTGATTCTGATCATTATCCACTATTTGTATACGCGCTTGAGCAGGTGTTTTCTATATTCGAAGACCTAGGCATATCTGTAGACTGTGTGGCGACTAGTGAGGTCAGCATTTCTGTGTCGCTCGACCCATCGAAGATCTGGAGCAGGGAACTTATTCAACAGGCAAGTTCATCCAGGTTCATGCTAAGTGTCAAGTAACTGTACCTGTGATTGAACTGTGTTCCTAATTCATTTGGAAAACTAGCACCATGGCTCTGTAAAATGAGCTGATGGTTTGTTTCTTGACCATTGTTTCGGAAAATGTAGTATGCTAGCTTTCTAATGGCTTGGTAGCATGAAGTAAGCTTCCTCCCTTACATACACCCTCGATCTCCTCTTCACTGTCCTTTGTAAATTTCGTAGGAACTTGACCATGTGGTGGAAGAGCTGGAGAAAATCGCATTCGTCCATCTTCTGCAGCAAAGAGCGATAGTCTCGCTCATCGGGAATGTGCGAAAATCCTCTCTCATACTAGAGAAGGTACGGTAACCAACTTTACAGAAACATTTCCTGGGGGACGACAGTCGCAAACAAACATCAGACTAACCCATATTCTCATCTTAAGGCCTTCCATGTGCTGAGGAGAATTGGGGTCAATGTCCAGATGATCTCGCAAGGCGCATCAAAGGTAACCAACCAACACCCATTGCATCAAACTACTGCGTTATAAAGAGTACAAGAACATCTATCCACGGTGTCTGTTGAGTTAAAACATTTTCGGCATGGAATTTGCCACCATTGCCAGGTGAACATGTCCCTGATCGTGCACGACAGCGAGGCTAAGCTGTGCGTGGAAGCCCTCCACCAGGCCTTCTTCGAGGGAGAGGGCGATGGCGATGGCGATGGCGATGATCGCCTGATGGCAGAATTCGACGAGGAGAACCTGCGGCTTGAGCTGTGATGAGTATTCAGTAGTAGTAGTAGTAGTACTGTAGTAGTGTGTGTTTTCAGTCATGACGCCTGGAAAAACCGCTGCTGCAAAAGCAAAACAACGGCTAGGTGTGGACTTGTAGACTGTGATGTATCTCTACACGTGGAGTCGCGGACAATGCGTACGTGCGTGCACACACACATGTGCTGTACATGTGATGAATACTGAATAATCGAGTCAGATGACCGCCTGTGGTCGTCGTCTCGACCGCCTCGTACATGTAGACGTTGCACAACACCTGTACATGTGATTGAATAACCGAAGTCCCATGGCCGGGCCTGTGGTCGTCGTCTCGACCGCCTGCTCGCCCGCCGGCCGGTCGGTCGGTCGCCGGTGACAATGTGTCAACGATAACATGGTCTCGGGAGCTCGTGTAAACATACGGACGAGGTTTGTCAAAAAGGACGCTGCTGGTCTCCGATCTCGGTGCAGAACTGCAGACCACTGTGCATGCTGCCATGATCAGTCTCTCACGAGCCTCCCTCCCTCCGTTACGGCACGGCATGGATGATGGTTGATGGATGCATGCACCACACTGCTAACGGAGACGACCAACCCACCGAGCACCACGACGCGGCGGCCGGCCATGGACAGTGCATGCACGCACGCGAAGGCCCATGCCATTGCCATGCTACTGCGACCACACACGTATACGTGCTACTACAGTACTCAGCATGAGGAAAACGAGCTCATGATGAGTGCCGACCAAGCCGACGGGCCGGCCGGCCGCCACGCCGGCGAACCAAACTGCGGCAGACGGGACGAGAGATCCGAGGCGAGCCGCAGGGCGGGCCCCCTTCCTTCCCCTTGGCGCCAGCGGCCCACGGGCACGCACGCGGCAGGGAGTGAGGGGTAGCGACTAGCGTAGCGAGCGAGTAGTAGTAAAAGCGAGGCTTGTCGCGGCGCGCTTGGCATGGCTCGGATTCGATTCGCGGTGTCAGCCCGCGTCCGGCGCGGCGAGGGGAGTGGGCGTACGAGGGCCGGCCGGCCGGCCGCCCGGGAATCGACCGATCGATCTCCGGTGGCGGGCCCGCCCGCCCCGTGCCTGCCTGCCTGCGCCACCCCACGCGCTCGGCTCTGCGCCTGCGACCACCCACGACCGCCACGGCGACCGGCTGCCGTGGAGCCGGGGTCATGTCACGTGCCCGCCCGCGCGCGCCAACAGTGCCGGCCCCGGGGCCCGCCTGTCGGTGCCCGCGCCTGCCGGTCACGCAGGGGCCCGCGAGCCAGTCGTAAGATTCCCCGTCCTCCTTCCCGGCCACGAGACGGACGGGCGGCGTTCGTCACCGCCGTCGTGGTCGGCGTCACGCTCCGCTCGCTCCTCCGGTCGATTCATTCAGTCAAAGCCGGTCGCTGGTTAAGCGTGTAGTCAGTCAGATAAACTTACCGGTCGTGGTAACATGTTTTTTTCGAGTAATAATAACCCTGGTCGTGGCACTTGGGGGGCGCCCGTGGTCAAAGCTTTGCTCACTCGGTCCGCCAGGACCAGTATGCATGTACTCCTACGTGCGCGATCCCCGGCGGGTTGGTTGGTTGCACCCGCCGTGCCGCTCACTCCCTCCCCACTCCCGGTCACTCGTGACCACGGACGGCATCCATCTGACCATCTCCATCAGTCAACACCCTCCCTTACTCCCAGCCATGATTACCAGTGGTATATGCTAAACAGTGGATGGAATCACGGAATCACAGAAGAATCCACGCGCTTGATTAAAGAAAAACTTCCCACGAGGGCGGGCCGTTCATCGCAAAAAAAAAGAGCGCTGATATCTTGGCCCTTCTGTTGTTGTTTGCATGGTCCATACGATACGAACCTGTGGGCTGTGGCGCGTTGGTATCGACGCCCGTGCCGAGCCTATCGCCACCCCTCCGGCCGCCGGCGCTGGGACGAAACGAACGGGACTTGCTTGCACACAAGAGAGACCTAGCGCACGCCCCCCACGGCCGTTGCGGTTGCTTTACCGGCACGGCGGCTGGCTCCAGCATTGCACTCCCACCCCTCTCTCTCTTTCTTTTCCCAGTGGCGTGGACCAACAGCACGCGCGCCACAGGTCGCTCGGCCAGCCGAGACAGATACACACACGCAGTAACACAGACAGGCATACAATACAGAGCACGAGGCCAAACCGGACACCACCACCGTCGACCTCATCTCGGTCTCGCCGGCGGAGATGGCACGGCACCTAGTGGCAAAGAGATTGGCGCTTTCTCCCCGCGGAGAGGGACGGGCGAGCCAAGCTGGTTGGCCCGTGTTTGTTTTCCACGGGAACGGAAACAGGGCCGAGACAAGGGAGGCACGCGACGGCCACCCCCACCCCCACCCAAGTCCGCGGCGCTTTTCTTTGCCCCCTTCCTACCACTTTCACCTCCCTCGTACCAACCAACCCGGCGCCAACACCGCCACTGCGCCGTTCCTTTCGTGGACCGAACAGCAGCCCGATGCGTCCACACCAGCGGCCTCCATGTGGCGCCGGCCTGTAGTCTAGTCTCCCACTCGGCCAACGACAGATGAGGCCAGGCAAGGGACCCACCGGAGCCTGCACTCAACCGGACGGGTGGATGGACGGACGGACACGCTTGCCTTCCACTGCTCCGTGGTATGCATCCATCCGACTGATAAATCAATCATGCCGCCCGCAGCGGATCAGTTGTGCGTGCGTGCGGGATTGCATTGCGCATACGGTGCCGGGCGCCGATCATGCGTCCCGGGATCGACACAGACAGCGACGCGCCACCGGACACCACCACCGGGTCTCTTCCCACTCACACTCTATAGCCATTAATAGTACATTAAACAGGATCAGACGTACATATACCATCGTCTTTGCCAGTGTTTCTTACTCCGGAACAGCTACTGCAGGTCGGTCGGTTAAATAATACAGGGTACTTGCTTACTTACTCACTAACACTAGCTAGAGCAAGGTAGATAAATATTTACATCAGGGTGGTTGGGGGGAAAGAGGAGGGAGGGCTAAGGATCAAGCATGCATTCAAGCAGGGGGGCAACGATAATCATAAATCTTGGCCCTAAAAATCTTAACTGCCAAGAGCAAGCAAGCAAACCAGCGGATAAACAATCGCGCAGCGCAGCAAAGTCTCTCTCTACATTACCTAGCAAGTAAATAGCTAAATCCAAAGGGTTGGGTTGGGTTGTCGTTGCTGCATCACAAGGGGGAGGGGGCGATCACCAAAAGACATCAGGAGTTACTTCATTGGCTGGCTGGCTGGGACCCGAGCGAGGGCAGGACAAAGCTCCCCGTGCGATACCTCACCTCATGCCTCAAATCGGCTTAACGCAACCTGCACAAGCACCAAGGCCAACAACGACCCAAAGGTTAGTCGCTTTCGGTGATGCGAATCATATCATGGCGCAAACAATAATATCCTGTGACCATGCTTGCACGATCAGGAATCCACCGAGGGAGTTAAGGTCAAGGAGAACTTGATGCACTGGAACGACATCGGCTTAACCAATAGAAAGGATTCGGGAGGCACACATACCTAGTTGGCTAGTTATCTAAATGGCTTGACGTGGCGGGATGGGCCTTCTCGTTTGCGCCATCGGCATCCGCGGAACCTTCCTCCTTTCTCGGGGTAGATGACTTCGAGTTCATCTTCTGGACCTCCTCCTTGGTGTAGATGAAGATCTTGCGCACTATGTTGCAGAACTCCCTGCTCGCAACACAATGCAGTAAGTAACGGGAGGCGGATTTCTGCGGCATACGTATATCAAAGCAAGCACCAGGCTAGATAGAGGGCTTACTCCCATGGATCATCTCCCACCAGCATCATGTCACCCTCCGGATCAGTATACACAATCTGCCAATCCTTGTTTGAAGACATCAGTTCACCATCAAATTCAAACATCCTGTCTAGCTCAGCTGTGAGTTCGTCGTAGTCGCCAAACTTTGACAGATCCACTGATCTACCAAGTGCAACACCTTGCTTATGAACCTGCAAGAACATGGTGAGTAACATATAAGTAAGTGGTAAGACCAAACAAATAACGAAAGAATACATGATTAAGCAGACAGGACAGTGCAATTGAATTCAGCAACCATGTATACAGTATTTAAGAATGTGCGCAGACATAGTATCCTGCTGTATCTTGCTCATAACAACATAAACTAACAAAGAGATTCACACACAGTCAACAGATTTATGACAAAGTGCTCAAGTCTTGCTCAACTCAGGTTGTAAAATTGTAAGTATATTGACCAGCATATGGCATGAACATGAAGAAAGCACAACAATACCTTTGTGCAACTCCTTGTGGAAGCACCATGGGACTTGCTTTGGACGTCTTTCGAACTGTGAGGAGCTTGTTGAATGCTTTTCTCATTCTCAGTAGTCCCAGCAGTGCTTACGGACAGCTCAGGAATACAATCAGCGTGTGCATGCTGCAATTGAGTTAATGATGCGGATGCTTGGGTTTGTAGCACAGGCTCGTGGATTGCAGCCATTGTGGAGCTCAAATGGTTAGAAGGGGCGCTGGTAGTATCAACCTTAAACCCAAAAATCTTGAAACCACTGCCTTCTCTTGTTTTCTCCAAGTCAACAGGAGCTATTGATGCATGAGGCCGGATCACTCGGGGTTGTTCAACCGGGGAGAACTGCTGCTGCTGCCTTAACCAATTTGATGGGTGCTCTTCAAATCTGAAACCTTGTGACTGATCTCTTGGATTACCGTATACGGTGCTTTGGCTATTCCAGAAATGAAACTCACTGGCCTCTGTCTGCATCTTTGTGTACGGGTCTGAGAAGTGACGAGCAGAACTGTGATCCTGGAACTGGTTCTTGAATGAGCCATGACGGTTAGGAGCCTCATCAAAGGTCTGCATGAAGAAGCCTTGGGAATCACCAAAAGATTGAGCACCAGAACTAGCATCACATCTTCCCAGCTGCATCCAATTATCCATAGAGGGCCTCTGCTGAAACGCGGATGCATGGTTTTTTCCGATGTTGGGGGATGGAGACCACATCATAGGCTTCTGAACGGTAGCATCAGATTCATTGCTGGCAGTCAGGTTGTTGGTCCTCAAGGTCATGTGCTCTTGACCTTGCAAGACCATGTTATTTTGATTTCTTTGTTGTGCTTGAGCAGAATCCATATCAATCTTAGCTGCAACTGCAAATGGCAACGACATTTCAAGAGCGTCACATTTGGAACCTATTTCATCAATCTTCTAGTAAGAGTAATGAGCTTATATCGTTACCTTCTTTTGTAAGAACAGATGATTCAGGAGAAACTGGAGGAACATTTGGTCTAGGTCTTTTGACCCGAGAAAGAGGAAGTGGGTTAACAGGAGGTGATGAAGCTGGCTCTATTTTCCAAGGAGAGACTCTATCCGGCCGCGGAATAGTTGACGGCTCATCCCAACGCACCTAAGTTTCAGAAGCAAACCTCCATGAACATGACATTCTTCAAGTTGTAACAAAATAAAAATTGCGATCAAACAGCTACCTTAAGAGATCTCCAGTTCGATTCAGGCCACAATTGGTCAAGATTTTCACTGCCAACTATAGTACCAGTAAACCTACATGACAAAGGAAACAACAGATTAGGAATGATCTACTGGGTGCTGTTGGGGGATCATGCACACAAAACTACACTTATAGGGAAAGCAAATACAACAGTCACCTCTGCTCTGGCGCCTCTTCACCTTCAAACCTCATCCTGAATCTCATCCCGATTGAATAATTGTTTTTTACAGACTCCATATATTGATCATATGGTATAATGAACTCTGAAGGGCTCGTTCTAGAATCAACCAAAGATTGGACACAAGTGTAAGCACTCAGAATGAGCCAATGGGAACGAATTACATATAGATAAGTATGATTCCCATAGACATGTTCATATACCTAGGTTTGTAGTAGACAGTGAACATGCTTTTCGTGTTGATGGCATGCCATGCAGTTGCAAGGACTCCAAGGTGCATGCTATGACTAGATATGACTGAAGAAGGCACGTTGGACAGCTGTCTCATAGCCCGCCTAACACCAACACGAAGCTCACCACTCTCTCCTCTGCATGGAGCAGAAACACATTTAGCACCGGGTTAAGAATTGTTATGCTGGTGAGTAAGGAAACAGCAACAGACCTGAGAAAAATGAAGGCATCCCCAGCTACAAGCCTTTTGGAACTGACAAACACACTCCAACCGCTCTGAAGGAGATGCCTCCTAGGTTGCCCTGTTGATTTGCACTCGGTTAACACAATTATCATCGATGACATCAACATCATCAAGTACAATATAAACCCTTGCAATTTATAGACAGATTGGATGTTTTGATGTGTTGGGGTGTCACTGATTGCTAAGCTACAACCAAATGGTCTACTGAATTTATCAGCTTCAGATCACACACACTGGCATGCATGGCGATGTAAAAGAGCCACAGATCAGAGCAAGGCAAGGAACAAAAACTTACCACGGAAGATGTGGCGGAAGCGCCAGTCCATGCCATGCAGATCCTTTGCAACAAGCTCTTGTGTTGGAGGCGACTGGGTCATGTCCTGCCAAATAGATCAGGTCAGCAAATGCCGCAAAACCGAAGGCAACAAGCCCCATACGCATGATCCGGTGTAGAATCGACACATACCAGGGGAGGGAGGCACTCGTCAGCGTGGCGGCGCAGCACGGAGAAACCGCCATGCGTGCTGGTGTCGGATGCCGTCAGGGTCTTGCAGAAGGACCGTACTGCCGGCCTCGGAGGCGTGGCGCCCGTCGTTGAGGTCGACTTGTCCACCGCCATCTCGTTTTGCTGAGAAATTGCAGAGAGCGGAGGGAAATTAGCACCTCAGGCGGAAGAGGAAGAAAATCTCCCAAGTGTGAACCCAGCGAAATTCACGGTAGAGCTTACCTCCGGCTCCGGCATGAGCATGACTTGCGCGTAGACCTCGTCGGTGTCCGCCTCCGCCTGCCAAAACCCCCCAGACAAATCAGCTGACCGAATCGAATTTCCCAGCAAACGAACAAGTAGGAGACAATTTTCCGAAGGCGGAGCGGAATTGAGCATGAGAAACGGGCGAAACGGGGGAGGGGGTAAGCGGGCACCTTGAGCTCGACGTTGATGACCCGGCAGAGCAGCTTGGAGGGCAGATCGTAGAGGCGCATCTGGTTGCCGGCGATCTGGTTCATGGAGGCCTCCACCTGGAAAACCAAAAAACGCCGCGAGAGCAAGCAAATTCAGCGCGCGAACCGAAGCAGAAGAGCCTCCCCGCGCCAAACCGCGAGGCGGGGGCAGAATTAAGCGAGGAAGGGAGGGAGGGAGGCAGGCTTGGCCGACCTGCTCGATGTGCCCCTGCGGGAAGTAGAAGACGAGGTCTCCGACGCGCGGGACGGTGACGAGCGGGCCGGCGCAGGCGTGCCAGAGCTCGTCGTAGAGCGGATCCCCTGCTCGGAAAACCAGCGCCGGCAAACGTCAGTAACCAACGAGGTGGAGGATTACGGCCCTGCTGGCCAGATCCGGAAGGTGGCGTACCTGCGGAGGGGGCCTGCGGCGGCGCCATGGCGGCGGGCGGCATCTGCTGCTGCTGCTGGCCGGCGGCGTGGCGGGGGGAACCCTAGCGGCTGCGCG